TTACAATTATATTTAATTCTTTCAAATATTAATTAATTTAAATAAGATTTTATATAAATAGGATCAATATTAGTATGTTTAAAATACATATTAGAAAATTTTACATACTTCCCACACAATTCTTATGTATTTGCAAACCCAACATCCCAAATATGATATTTTATATCTATAAAATCTTGTTGTCACAAAGAGGAGGAATAATTGCACACACAACCTAAAGAATGACAAGACAGAACTTAAATAAGAGAAGGGAGTGAAAAAAGACATTCACATTTCAATACAGAACATGCTCATTAACAAATGAGAGTCTCTGACAATTTATAAGAACAGAACAGATACAATCAACTATAAAGATCATCACCATTCCCCAATTAAAATAAGCCTTATTAACACATTATCAATCACCTTTTTCCCAGTTTTCATCTTGTCAAATTAAAATAGACAGTATAAGATTCATCCATCAAGCTCATCAATGGCTCCAGAATGAAGTCCCTCCTTACACCCTTTGCCCTGAAACTGATAGAGTGATGCTGCCTCAACCCACTGCTTAATGAAAAGCTCGCAGCTTTCTTAAATGAAGAAGCATCATCCTTCTGCTTGCATATCAGCTGTACATTTTTTCCCTCAGAAAATTTCACACCAGTATAGAGAAAGCAGCCCTTATGGTCTCCGGACTCCAGACTCACTGAGCCGGCATTCCCGTCCAAACCCGAAACGACGCGAAATGTAGACTTTGAGTTTGTCTTGGGAGAAGTGGAGAGAATAACGTTTCCATTCCATGACAAAGGTGTCACATACATTCCAGGGCTGTTGAATGGCTCAATCTTCACAAATTTTCCAAGAAGATTATTGCAACATGGAGCTTGGAAGAGCTGTTCATCGGCGTCCTGAGGAACAAGCCTGAATGTTGCATGAAGGGCATCGTTGGTACCAGATTTAGGGTTTTCTGTCATTCTGAGGGTGTTGTTTGTGATGGAGACCACAAAATGTTTGTTGTTGGATTCTTGTGATAGTGAGATTAGATGAGATGTCTGAGACTCTGGAACTGGAGTTACCCAGTCTGAAACGGTGGTGGAATTTCCAGTGTCAACATCCCAGTCGCCGTCGGAGAGGCCAGCGAGAAGGTATGGTCCAAAGAAGACGGCTTGTATCGATTCATATTGTTGCCGGTCATCTGCAGAGGATGAAAAGGAATACCGCTGTGTGTGAATTCAATCTAGGATTTGCGAATATTTTATGTCAGGCATTTACATACATACCCTCTATTTCTCATGTATTTAAATATCTAATCCCTAAAAGTTTGCTTTTTTTTTTTTACCTTTATACTACCCAAATCTTTCATATCACATCCAAAATGCCACTATTTTAACTTATAAAAAATGAAGTGCACCCTTTCATGCAAAAGCTAAGGTGGCACAATGTAAAAATTCAAGTTTTGGTTTTAGAAATACATGAGAATTGAGTGCTAAGCAAGTTATATGCTTTGAGTGCAAAATTGTGAAAAAGAAACCGTAACGTTGAGGTAGTTATATACCCTTTATTGCCTCTGTCCACAAGTTGATGGGCAGCTGAAGCTCCAGCTTGTCATTTGAACTCCAGATCCTAGAGATGGAGAGGAAAGTCCCTGCAATGAGACGAAACCGTAGGACATGAAAATTATCCACAACTCGCAAATGAATAAAAAAAAATTTGAATTATGTAACTTTAGAGAAGCGATCACAAGGTTTAGTTTATAAAAATCAGCTGGAGAAAAAA